GCACAGGCGGATATACAACATGTGGCATTTGGATGTTATTCTGATTTATACAGCTTTTACTACAGCATATATAATATATTATATTATATGTTGAAGTCACATACTAGTCCATGAACGTGTGGGACTTGGTCTCTTCTCCGCAATCACCCCCTGATAGACAAAGCAATCGCTGCAAAAGTTCATGGAAAGCATCATCAACAAAAGCGGCAAGCTTCGAAGTCTGATCAAAGATCTGACCAACAATTACAGCGTGAACGAGACCACCACCTCGTTCCTTGTTTCAGAAAAATGTTGGTTTGTTTCCTGTTGACCATTGTGTGCCCAAGAGTCAAGACATTGGCGTCCAACATCTGGCAAACCTCCGGGCCCAGGTGCTTGAAGAACCTCAAGGAGCAGGTCCTCTCCCTGGATCAGGAGTACGATTCGTGCCAACTTGTTTGGGGTGAGGGTGAGATTAATGATTTTAAGGAAGAGTTGCTTGGCAACAAAATCCTTACCTTACCAATTTTTGGAACTGCATGTCTGCGTTGGTTCTATCCGATTCTATCCCATGATGTCCCACGCTATCTTCTCTCTTATACTTCAGTCTTCAGTATACTACACCTCATGGCTGGATGGAAGCAATCTCAGGTTCTACAACAAGGCGGAGTCTCGCATCAAAGCATCGACCCTTGTGTCCATGCCTCAATTGGTTTCCAACTCACATGTTTCTGAATTAATACTCCCTCCACCAGTCCCCGCTACGCGCATAAGGTGCTCGAAAGCCGCAGCTACTGAGATGAAAGTCAGGACGGATAACGCTTTTAATCATTCAATTTGATACTGCAATGCTACAATACCATGGATGCTCATGCGAACTGGGTTGGTTACAAGTATGCCTTTTCCAAGCCCCCATTAATTCATCTTCTATGCGCTTCCCCCTGCCAGGAGTGCCAAGAAGTTCTTCGATAAGTCCAAGGACTCCAAGGGGAAAAGCCACCGGTCTGATCGGAGTGAGGCCGCCGAGTCAGCAAGGAAGAGGAAGACTAGGGAATCCGAAGCTGAAGAGCCGGATGAGAAAAAACAGAAGAAGGAGAAGACTAAGAAGGAGAAGTCTTCGAAGGAGAAGACTCCGAAGGAGAAAACTCCGAAGGAGAAAGCTCCGAAGACTGCCAAAAAGTAGGTAGCTTCTTCATTTTAGCATTGGGTCTGCTAGACACGTCCATCAAACTCCAAAGTCAATTAACATGAACTTGTGACCTTCAGTTCTTTTTTACCTTTGCAAAGCGCAGAGATGGCAAGGTGTTGTCTGGCATTTTTGTTAGCTGCTTGATTTCAAGCAGAAATTAGACTGATCAACCATCGGGCTTACCAAGAGCATCGATATGCGTGCGCGTGCGATCATGCGCTGCCAGTGGGGTTCATAAAGGGTTGAGGAATTGCTGCAACTCATGTGGCCCCTGAGATTTCCAACTCAAAGACTCTTAAATTTTTGATTTGCCCCCACACACACACGTGTCGATCTGTGTTGCAAGAAAGTCTTGCTTGCCCTCCCACCGAACTCCGGGCCAGTTGCTAGCGCTGGCAACGTGGTCCGCGGGCTCAACAGCGACATTGGCAATGGAGCAGGGGCCTCAACTGGTGAGATCTGGTAGGAAGATGGGGGGACGACCATATTCTGGGGTATAAATGTCATTATGTTGCACGCAGGCTCAAGTAAACAAAGGCATCAACTATATGGCCTGCAATGCACTATAGCCCTGATGGAGAGTCCCGAGGATGAGTTGCTAGAGTTGTTTACATGTCACCGATCTGACTCTTGGCGTTAATTCAAAAGAATGGTTTCCTTTTGCGTATAAACATGGGATCATAAAGGAGCAACCCCCTCTATGAATCGATTACGGTTTCATTGTTTAAAGCCAACAATTGAAAGCAAGGATCGTGATGTGCCCTTTCCATGGACCCAGCCCAAACTCGTTGATCAAGGGGGCCTGCAACGCAATGCACCAGTGGAAAGTGGTCCCAAGACCTTTCAAGAGTTTCAATGCGCCCCGGACCTTTCTGAATTGAGACGAGCTTGTGAACCTTTGGGGTGCATAAGCTTCAGGCTTCCGAGCGATGGCATTACGGCAGGAAAAGTTCTACACCATTGCATCGCTGTGTTGGAATCGTTGTTTGGATCGCAAAGTCCACTCATCTTCAAGCTTGGGTTTTGCCAGAACCCACATTTGAGATGGACGAATCGTGTCTATGGCTACTCCCGCGACCCTGCAAAGTGGGAAAAAATGATTGTCATGTACGCTAGCAAGGAACCGTTTTCCCCAGGAATGCTTGAAGCTGCGTTGATTGACAAGTATGGAAGCAATCCGGTCGCACATGGAAAATGTTGGCATCTTTTTCATTGTCAAAACTTTCCTCCATCCTTTTGGTTTTGGTGGTTCCCTCACTATGTTGTAACTGCCAAGTCACCTCAGGCAAGCCAGGATGCCGCAACATCCGGTCAGGGGGCGACACTGTCCAGACCACATGTTCGACCTCAAGCAGTGCAGTCTTCATGACCTATGTTGTATATAGATCCTTCAAGACACCACCACCAATTCCACCCTTGAGACCATAAGTGTTTGCTAGGGATCGACGGCTTGACAGCTTCGAGGAAAATAGAAAGAATGGCGTGTGCAATTGACAGTGAGCAATGTTTCAAAGACTCCTGCAAAAATCAACAGAAACAATTTAGAGATTGAAAGCATTGATGTGTCCACTTCATGCAGAACACGCGTACATGTTGTATAAACCTGCCTCACCCCCCGATTAACCTACACAACCAGTGTGCGTTGGTTGCGCTGAGGTCCCATGTGCTGGAGCTGTCCGTACAGCTCGAAACATCGTCAAAGACTTTGGGAGTGAAGTCGCGTCAAGCTCGGGGGGCTTGGTGGAGTTGGCAAGCTGCAGCACAAAGAATTCCGAGAGAGACACGCACAGACTTTTAGTTAACAAGCTGAAGCTGAGCCTCGACATTCCAAAGACATTCCTTTGCACAAAAGATCCCACACTGAAGGTACCCGTGTTGCGTATGAGAGATTGGGTTGCACATTTGTTGAAGCATAACTGTTGGCATGTTGTAACAGGGCTGTTGTCACCGGACCGTCGACGTGAAGAAGCTATTTTGCGTGAGTATTGGAGGCGCTTCCAAAAGGTGTCTCCAAGTCATCCAATCTTCCAGTTGGAGCGTGAAGGCAAGATAGTGTTGGGTCGGACTGCACCCTGCGTTGTCCATGGAGACGAAGGTAGGGGCCGCAAGAGAAAACCCTGCATGTGCTTGAACTTTCATTCTCTATTGGGCCGTGGCATCAAGCCGGCCCAGGAACTGGCAAAGAAGAACAAAGTGAAAAAACAGTACCTCAAGTTGAAGCCGAACTTTGTCGGGCACTCCTTCACTCATAGATTTTTGCTTGCAGCATTACCCAAGAAGTTCTACACTCATAAAAACGAACACGTGTGGGAACAAGTACTGTCAAATATCAGCAATGACATTGTGCACATGTACACGGAGGGCGTTCCTGACCAGCACGGTCTACAGCATTGGGTTATGGTTTTGCATGTTGTGGGCGATTGGCCCTTTCTTGCCAAGTCTGGGTTGCTTGCAAGGTCATTCATGAACGTACAGAAACGAGTGAACAGCCAGCCCGGCCGCGACCAGGGTGGGGTGTGCCACTTGTGTCTCGCAGGCACACCACCCTTCCCTTTTGAGGAGATCCATACCCGCCACCCAAAGTGGCTTCCGACGCTTCACCAGGAAAGTCCCTTCAAATCCAGACCTGCGTTGCTTTCCATCCCGCACCCTGCGGGACAAGCTGCATCGATTTGGGCATACGACCTATTTCACAGTTTTCACCTGGGGGTCGGACGCAGCTTTTTGGGAAGTTGTTTGGCACTTTTGTCGGAGCGTGAACCTGCTGGAGGAATCGACGAAAGATTTTCTCTGTTGAGCGAGCGCTACTTGAGTTGGTGCCGCGCCAACCATGTAGTGACACAAGTGTCGCGAATAACAAAGGAGTCAATCCAGTGGCCAACAACCACTGTGTATCCTACAGGTGCTTGGCACAAGGGTGCCGTGACAACAAATTTGATGAGCTTCTTCGAGGACCTGTGTCGAACGGAAGACTATTCAAGCGAGCCCTTGTTGTTGAAAGCTTCTGAGGCTGCTCTAGCCATCAACTCTTTCTTGAGGTCTTTGTACACCAATGACTTATGGATTGAGCCCCGGGAGGCGATCACTCTTGGAGAACTGGGAATGAGATTCTTGAGAAGATACTCCGAATGCGCCGCCTTGGCCTACAGGCAAAGCCGAGCTTTGTTTGTATTGCAGCCCAAGCTGCATGTGCTACACCATTGCTTCATCGCAATGATCCAATTGGGCCAACAGAACATTTCAGTTCAATCACCTTTAGCTCTGTCGGTGCAGCCCGACGAGGATTTCATAGGAAGACCCAGCAGGCTGAGCAGGCGGATTACAGCACGTGGTTGTGTAATTGAAAGACTGTTGGATCGCTACATGCAGGCCTGTTTCCAGGAATAGGTATCAGCAGGTTTGCTGATTCGACCGGTGGTTTGAGTCAATGGAGAAATCGAAAAGCATCGACTGTTTTATAACCAAATTGTCAAACAACCATATGAATCATATGCATTTTCTGCTTTAATTCCAATAAGAAGTGGGCAACACTCAGGCCGCGGCGGTTCGATCCGAGTTCCAACCAGCGCTCGTTCGGGATGAGCAAGCAAAAGGCTTCAAGAAGGGCGGGGCAGTCTCAAAACATACGTTTGGTCAGTTTCTTGGAAGCTCTGAAAATAGAGCATTTTGAAAACCTCGGGTTTTCTTAGAGAACCTCGTGTTTCTGAGGAACCCTACGTTTCTATCGGGTTCGGAGGCTCAAGGTATATATAAATAATATACCGTAAAACTATCCGTTATAAACTAGTATCGTCTCACCCCCTGGCACGGGGAGACCCGCTCGGCTAAGCTCCTGTTCATGACTTTCCGGATGCCTTGCCCATCCACCTGCCAAGCTCGAAGCGAGGGATGTCGGAGTCAGGCTCGGCTCGGCTCGGCTCAGGCGGCTTCTGCTTGTCCCATCCAGGTTCATGTGGATCTGACATCGGGGCACACCGGTATCTCCGTAAGCCTCGTCCTGTGACTCAGTCCCTAGGGCTTGTCCAGTCTGACCTGGTCAAACCTGGTCAGACTGGGCTCCCAAGGAGCAGTGGTCTTCTATGACCAACTCCAGAATGAGATGAAACTGAACTGTAGGGGATGGTTTGGGGTTTGGCTTGGCCCAATGTGCTCTTTGAAACATTGCAGTATAGTGACTGCCTATGATTTCTCTCAAGCGCAGATTGAACGGGCGATCCAGGCTGATCAGGGCAAGACTTGCGGAGACAGGACACACACCCCACGATCCGTTGCACTGGCTATGGCAGCTATGACTGTTGCAGTGGGGGAGGTCGGTAAAGGAAGGTAAACCGGTAAACCAAACAAAACAAGCAGGAATCAAAGACACAAAATGCAAAAAAGCAGCCTTGTTTTCACCCCAACGCTTACCGCTGAGCGCGGTATTCGTCGCTAGACTGAACGGCCCGTCTTTGAACCGCCCATTGTAGGCTTTAATGGTCTGGAGCCGCTTCGTGAATTTTACACAGCTGAGAAACATCCGATACAAATCAAACATATTATTTACACAACGGTTGGAAAGTGGGCGCAAATGGTTCGTATATAGTGAATGAATGATCTATGATCTATATCAATCCAAGCACAGCAATATAGTCCACATATCAAAAACGACTGTGGGGATTTTACCCAAGAGTTTTCATCTGGCTACAGTATGTAAAACACGTTCCTGCCTGCACACAGGGCAAACAAATGCAAAAAGTAAAACATATGGTTGTATATTGTTGTTCTCACCTGTTCAATAGATTCAGAAAAAATCAGGAAAACTCAACACTCAACTGTGAAATCCGGGTGCATGACGAATAGGAGATCCTGATCCAGTGGCCATGGAGAAAAAAATTAAGTGAAATCCTCTTGAATGGCTCCATCCGCGGAAGGAGTCGACACCAAACGGGTGCAACTCACTCCTGAGGTCATCTTGCCTGCGAGAGGCAGACATGAACTGAATCCATGTGGTCATCTGGAAGAAAAGCACATCATAGGGTCAAAATGGGTCAAGCATATCAATCAATTGACCCTTCAACTCAATCTTGGACAACATGTACCAGTCCTTTTCGGTGTCGGTGCCATCACGGTGTCCCAACTTCTAGCGGACCATCTCGAGCTTGTATGGTCTCCTTTTCGGACCCAAGCCATCCTTTCAAGCACTGCGATGGCACAGGCATTTGTTCGGAACGAACGGAGACGAACTCACCCGACGGCCGTCCTCAAGAGACCTTCGCCGAACCCCACGCGCTCGTTGGCGGAGATGAAAACAAGATCACCGTGACATGAACGTGATGGCGACATGGTGGCACTCGCCACTCCCAAGCATCCACATCCTTCACAACACGACGTTCACCTCTGGTGAGCGTCAAGCGGAGAGTGGCGCCATGCCTGCGCCTGCGATAGGGCCCAATGCCTCAGCTGCAGATGTACTTAGACTCCGGAAATCACATAGACCCCATGGCACCCTGAAAAACGGTTTTCCTCTAGCTGCACCAGTGGTTTTCAGGGTTCAGCGGGGTAGATTCTCCCTCGCAGCTGAAGCCCAAAGATGCATCGAAGCAAGCCATCGAAGATGTGCCAAGGAACATGTCCCTCCTATGTAAGTGGATCATTTGACGGGGATTCGTATAAGGTTGTATATAATAAGTGAGGACTTGGGCAACAAGCGATCGAGCTGCGATGTTCTTATAAGAACACACATCACATCACGTCGGGTGGACGGACAACGACGCAAGTGGATGCAAGTGGAACATTCCCTACAACGTTTGGATGTCGATCAACACTTGTATTTTACTGTTCCACATCTGATGTTGAGAATCGACACAGCAAAACACTACAGTGAACCTGATCAACTTGTATGCTCAACCAAACCAAAACGGTTCAGATGAACCTTCCTGCTGTTCATGCCCTGGCCCGACTATGACATATCCATGCATATATATATACATATATGCCAGTATATCTCATCTAGCTGATATGTTTTATCTTTCAGCCTGACCCTGAGCCCCCATGTTGATGCATCATTACGTTGGAAAGTCCCTTCCAGTCAATGCCGGTCTCTTGCCATTTCATCGAACAAAATCATGGGATCAGAACCCTTCCTGTGCAAGATGATCAGCATTTATCAGCCCTCACAGATCCAGATACCCCCTGAGAAAGTGATTGGAGACTCATTAGGATCACAGAGGCCTGGCAGGGTCCGATCACAGAAACCATGTGGATCCCCGCTGCATCCAAGCCACTGCTGCGCAGCCGTCGCCCCCCGCTCCGCGGCGGCGAGGCCGCGGCGCGTGGCCAGGTCAACGCGGATCTCCGCTTCCAGCTGTGTGGTTTCCACCCTGGTCACTGACTGTGGGTTTGGCGTGGGCAGCAGTGATATAGTGGCTAGCCATGGGTAGAATGAACCAAATGAACCAGTTTCGGGTTTTCTTGGACATGATTGGACATGGCCTGGGTTCCGCAAGTTGGACGGCCGACAGGCGTTGGGGCTGCAAACCTGTTGAGTTCACCCAAACCATCCATGTATGGAATAGGCTATGCCTACATTGATACCTAAAACCAGCTCAATGTCCGTAGATATGCCAGTCCCATGGATTGGGGGGCTGGCTTAGGAGGACGACCAGCCTGTGGTAACTCGTCCTTCACTCCATCGCTCACACCCACCGTGCGCCTCGTCCGTCCTTCCGCGTGTCCCTGGTGTGCTCCCGCCTCTCAGCTGCTTCTGCCTGGCAGCTCTCCAAGAGTTCTTGCAGCTCTTGTAATTGTCGCAGCTGCTGCTCATGGAGTGCCTGTCACGGTGCTGATCAGGGTCCGTGACAAAGGGCGCGGCTAGTAGGGAGGCGGTTTGGAGCCTCACGAGGTGAGTAGAAGTTGGGCACTTTAGTTCTCTTGTAGGTTGGTTGATGTGACTGTGAGGGGCTTCTGTTGGAGGTGGTTTCTCAGATTGGAACAAGACCTACATCAACGAATCAACTTCCTTCCTTTTGTTGCAGCTCTCCCTTGAAGCATCTAAACGTTTTCGGGAAAGCTTGACTTTCCACAGCTCCGGCTCCGTCTGAGGTTTGGCCTCTCAATCGTCGCGTATTGCCACGTATCGCCTCCCTTGCCTTCCAATCGTTTTCCCAACTGGATCTGCGAAGGGATTCCTTCAACTTCAACCACTTGACCCACCCAAAATCAAAATCCGCACAGCAAACCGGTGAACAGGGCAACCAAGGGCGAACCGAACCAAAGCAGTCTTGTTCTCTGATTGGCGTCATGTCTTTTTTCAGAGATTGGGGAAGGTTCTGGAGTCTTGCTGAGCAAATTGAAGCTTAAATACGAAACAAATCCAACGCTCGTGGCGGTCCAATGCTTCAATTTGACGCTTTCAGGGTGTTTCTTCATTTTGTTCTTGATGTTGACCCTCTGGAGCAATTTTTGACCCTTGGGTTGTGCTCTGCCCTGGATCATTGACAACAGGGCAGTGAAAGAAAGAAGTCATTGACCCCAGCCAACTCCACAAACACAACTCTTGCAGACCTGGGTCGTCAAGACCTAGCTAGGCGCTGCAAGTTGCAAGTTGCAGGAAAAACATATATATATATTATATACATATGTAATACTATAATCATTTGTATACATATGCATATACATATACATATACATAGATGTTGAGGTCCTGATTGCTATCTGCATGAGCTACGCACATGGCACAGGTCCTGATTGGGCCCCTCAACAGGCCTCCATACCCCCCCCCCCCACTCAAGGACCGTCTGCCGGGCACGCGTCCGGGCACCTGTGTCTTGGCGTCTGCCTGGGCCTCGGCCCTCTTCACTTGGCCTCGGCGCTTGGCAAACGGCAGTGACCCAGCGCTGCTTTCCGGGCAGCTAGGTTCTTGGACTCAATATGCATTCTGCCGGTACATGTCTGTAAGATTCTGTAAGGCAGTCCTTCGTTCTGAGAATTCCACATTTGGGACGGCCATTCCAACAGAAGAATGCCAGTAAAGCATGCTCGATCACGATTTGTCCATAGTGCTGATGGTATTCCGAAAAGATCGGATCGGCGTCCACAGCAGGATATGTGCTACAGTCTTGGGAAAACTGAACGTATACAGTAACTTATATGGATTCAAAGACTATATAGATTAAAGTATAATATATAATGAACTAACAATAGATACAATATGATACAATCGATTGATATTGATTGTCCAATCTACAGTCGCCGGCAGTGAACCAATCTTGTCCAGAATCTAAAGTGTGTCCAACTCTCTCTCTCTCTCTTACATTGGAGCTTTCCATGAGCACGAACACACCAGTGTGGGCCACTTCTTTCGACCAACACCGGCAGAAGCGACCCCAACACCACCGCCTTTGAAGGCCTCCCATGGTACCGTCTTTCAACGACCGTCGAGCGGCGCTCGCTTTGGAGCTGTAGACCTCGGTAGCGGCGCTTTGGGGATCTCATGACATCGGTCTTTTGGGGTTCACCAAGCACCAATCTCGAGCTCGACCTCGAGGTTGGACCAACCACCCCAAATAGGAGTCTTGTCCTATCAAAACAGGGGTCAAATTGGTTCTAGGTATATATATATATAAATATCAGTATACAATCCCCGTAGTTTTGCAAAGTTTGGCCTCTAAGCCCAACTGTTTGGGCAAAACAGACTGTGGTGGGTTCGACCCGAGGGAAATTACTCAGAACTGTCCTGCAACAGATCGGTCAACCTGTTTGGACAAAACAGATCGGTCACCTGACGCGACCTGGAAGGCCACCCTGACCCCTCGGGGTGACCCGGGAACGGGTCTGGCGATTCGCGTACGACGTACACTCCCTGGAACTAACATGGTGGAGAGGCCCCT